CAGGACAGCCAAGACTACACAGAGAAAGCCTGTCTCGAAAGCCAAAATAATGATAATAAAAACTATGCCCTGCCCGGTGCGGTAGCGCTCGCCTTTAGTGCCAGCTCTCAGGAACCCGAGGCAGGCCTGGTCTAGGACAGCCAAGGCTACACAGAGAAAACCTGTCTCGAAAAACAAAAACTGTGCCTTACCCAAAACAAGAAAACTGCCTTTATTATCAATTCCCATGATGGGGAATAGGGCTGTTTGGAATTGGAAAACCTAAGAGTGGAGGCAAGTACCGTTTGGGCCTCAGCATACTAATCTGTAAAAGCCTCTTTGTAGACTACAAAGATTTACATAAACGGTTTCTGCTTTGGAGATGGACAAACACTAACCTTTGAAGTCTGTGCTGCTAGATGAGTCTCGGCTTCCCTCAGAGTCTTATACACTAATCCCCTTTCTACTTCTCTGCGGCTCTTTTGGCTTTTGAGACAATCTCACTGTGTGCCCTGATTGACTTAGAACTTTGCAGCTGTAGTCCAGGATCTGAGGCAATCCTCCTGCTTTAGTCGCTTGAGTACTGACTGGGATTACAAGGCATGTGACACCACTCTTGGTTTTCGGTGGTTCTTGGAGTGGGGTTTTCTTTATTTACTTCTCAAGGGCTGTCACGAGTGTTTATAGCAGAGCCATTGCATCTGGCATGAATTCCGAAGTGATGGCACCTAGGCTTTGAAGTAGCTTTTGGTAAATAAATAATCAATGATTGTATCTGGGATTTTATGGAGTTGTTCTTTGAAGGGTTCTCAGAGCCTTTGCTTAACTCAGTCCTGAAACATTCCTGGCAAACCAGGACTTCTTGTATGTCTGAGAATCACTTAGGTAACTTCTTGTATGTCTGAGAATCACTTAGGTAATAATCATTCCCTCAAGGTACACCCTACATCAGATAAGAGGTTTTGGTGTGCATAAATTGATAAAGTGCCTTTTGGGTAACCATAAAAAGCGCTTTAACCGGGTGTGGTAATGCACGCCTGTATTCCCAGCACTGTTGGGGAGGCAGAGGCAAATGTCTGTGAGTTCGAGGCCAGCCTGCTCTATGAAGGACAGCTAAGGCTACACAGAAACACTATCTCAAAAACAAAAACAAAACAAAACAAACAAACAAAAAAAACCACTTCTAGGAAGCTGCTAGCCTTCAGACCTTGAGAAGCTAACCCTGCTGCTGCCAGAGAAGGCTTAAAGGAATTGAACTCAGGACCTTTGGAAAGACAGTGAGTGTTCTTAACCTCTGTACCATCTCTCCAGCCCCAATCTAGACTATTTTAAAGGAAAGTACTCAGGCAGATGGAGAGATGGCTCAGCAGTTAAGAGCACTGGCTACTCTTCCAGAGGACCTGGCTTTGATTCTCACTGCCCACATAGTGGATCACAACTGTCTCTAATTCCACTTCCAGGGGAATATGACACCCCCTTCCACTCTCCTCCCCACCCCATCTCACTTCCAGGGATACCAGTCACAAAAGTAGTTTACAGATAAACCTGAAGGCAAAACACACATATACATAAAGTAAAACACACATAAAATAAAAAAGTCTATACTTAGAAAAGAGAGGCCTTTGGGGCTGGAGAAATGGTTCAGCATTTAAGAGTGGCTAGGGCTCTTTCAGAGGACTAGAAGGAAGTTCGAAGCATTCAGGCAGCTCACAACCACCTCTAGCTCCAAACTTCTGGATCCTGTGGGCACTTGTACTCACACATCAACACATTCATGTAATTAAAAATATAAATTAAAAAATGTTTTTCAAAAAGGCTGGGCATGGTGGTATACACTTTTGATCCCAGTACTAGGGAGGCAAAAGCAGGTGGATCTCTGTGAGTCTGAGGCAGTCTGGTATAACAAATTCCTGGACAGCCAGGACTACAGAGAGACTGGTGTTTGAATAGGTCTGGCCCCCATAGACTCATGTGTATGAATGCTTGGACCATAGGGAGTGGTACTATTAGGAAGTGTGACCTTGTTGGAGAAAATGTTCACTGTGGGGTGGGCTTTGAGGTTGCCTAGGCTCAAGCTACACCCAGTGTGGCACACAGTTTTCTGCTCTCTGTGGATAAAGATGTAGAACTTTCGGCTCCTTCTCCAGCACCATGTCTGCCTGCATGCTGCCATGCTTCCCGCCATGATGATAATGGACTAAACTTCTAAAACTATAAGCCAGCCCCAATGAAATATTTTCCTTTATAAGAATTGTCATGGGGTTTGGAGAGATGGCTAAGAGGTTAAGAGCACTGGCTGTTCTTCCAAAGGTCCTGAGTTCAATTACCAGAAACCACTTGGTGGCTCACAACCATCTATAATGAGATCCGGTGCCCTCTTCTGACGTATAGGCATACACGCAGGCAGAATACTGTATAATAAGTAATAATAAATAATAATAAACAATAATTAATAATTAGTAAATAATTTAAAATAATAAATAAATATATGATCATGGTGTCTCTTCACAGCAATAAAACCCAAACTAAGATTTTGTCTCAAAAATGGGTGGGGAGTTAATAAATTTGGACTTTATTTTAAATGTAATGTTTCTCTTTATACTACTAAGGAAAAGAAAAATCATAGATTGGCAAGAGATATTTGCAGTGCATCTGATAAAAGGCTTGTATCCCAAATAAAGAACATTCCAGACTTATTGCACCCATATGGTGGTTCACAGCCACCTGTAATTCTAGTTCCAGAGTTTTCAACACCATGTTCTGATCTCTGAATGCATGGGCATGCACAGAGTACACATGCATACATGCAAGCAAAACACTCATTATAAAATTAAATAAACCTTTTTAAATGGCAAGAAATTTGAACAGATATTTGACCAAAGGAAGCATAAATGATCCAGAGCAGGAGATGGTGGCATATGTTTATAATACCAGAAGTTGAGAGGCTGAGGTCAGAGGATCACTGAAGGTTCAAGGCCAGTTTGAGCTATTATGATGCTATTTTGATTTGTGTTGTGTTTTTTTGGGTGTGCATGTACCCAAAAAAAATCTCTGTAGAAGCCAGAGGCTTCTCAATTGCTCTACACCTTATTTTTATTTACATGCTGCCATGGGGTTTCTGTTGCTTTGAAGAGACACTGTGACCACAGCAACTCATAAGAAAACATTGAATTGGGGCTGGCTTACAGTTTCAGAGATTTAGTCCATTATCCTCATGGCAAGAGGCATGGCAGCACTCAGGGAGATATATGCATGGTGCTGGAGAGTAGCTGAGAGTTCTACATCTGGACCAGCAGGCAGCAGGAAGACAGTGGGACACTGGGCCTGGCTTGGGCTTCTGAGACCTCAAAGCCTACCCCCAGTGACACACTTCCTCCAACAAAGCCACACCTACTCCAGCAAGGCCACACCTATTAGTGCCACTCCCTGTGGGCCAAGTGTTCAAACACATGAGTCTATGGGGCCATTCCTATTCAAAGCACCACACTTACTTTACGTATTTGTTTCTGAGACAGGAACCTAGAGGTCACCAATTAGGCTAAGCTGTGGTCCCAGCTCTAGTGATGCAGGGACAAGCAGATCTCTTGGGTTCACTATCTAGCTAGTCTATTCTACTTTGAGAGCTCCAGGTCAGTGAGAGACCCAGTCTGGAAGAAAAATGAAAGGAAAAGGAGAGGAATGGACAGTGTGTGATGTCCCTGAAGTTGTCCTCTGATCTTGAAATTGCACATGTGCACACACACGAACATTCACACAAATACAACTTGGGCATAACGTTGATTACCTTAGTTCTGGAAATGGTTTTCCAAATGTACACATGGCAAACCCATATAATTGCCTACTTTATGTGAGATTATTATGTGTCAAATATAATACCATTAAGTTAAAACTAAATTTTTACTCCCATGAAGTTAAAAAAGGCGTGCGTGTGTGTGTGTAAAAAAAGGCATGTTTGTATGTGTTTGTGCGTATGTATGTATGAAAACAATTTACAGAGCTGGCTTTTTGCTTCCATTACGTAGGGGTGGGGGAGCAAAACTGGGGCATCAGATTTATCGACAATACCCTTCCAGCTCCTGAGCCATTTAGGGCCCAGAGTTGTAAAAAACGTGATCATGATTCATGTTACACAATGCTACCTTAATGTTTCAGAGTTCTTGCAGTTTGCTAAGCAAAAACTAATCCACAATCGAAGCATGATCTTTAAAAACACTCATGGATTAAGTAAGATAGATTGGAGATCTCTTTATCAGTAAAAGAAGAGACCCAAAAGCAGCATGCCTGGCTGTGGCTCTGTGTAAAGTTTCAAAGAACCTCAAAACCCGGAGAATAAAGTTTTGAGCCTTTCTCTTTCTTTCTCTCTCCACCCTCCCCCCCACCCCCAGCAGAGGTTCTTATCTTTCCTAATGCTGCAGCTTGTTAATACCGTTCCTCAGGTTGTGATCCCGACTATAAAATTATTTTCGTTACTACATAACTGTAATTTTGCTACTGTTATGACTCATAAGGTAAATATCTGATATACAGTATATCTGAGATACGACCCCTGTAAAAGGATGAGTGGAGCCTTTCCAAAAAGGTTAAGAATCGGTGCTCTAGAGCGTGACTTCCTTTAGAAGTACACAAGCGCTCTGCAGCAAAACTCTGCCTCTTCCTAACTACGGGGCCACAGGCCTTTCCCTTTATGCAAAAGGACTAATAAATGCCGCAAACACCACAATGACCAGGTAAGTCAAAGGACGACAAGACTGGGACAGTGACGAGGAGGGGCTAGGATCCCAGGTTGGCTAAGGTGTGGAAACAGTCAAACAAAACAAAAATGGAAAAGAGAGAAAGAAACCCAGCCTCCCGCTTCCGCCAGAAACCCACGAAAGCGCCTGCGCGCCCGATGCCCTCGCTTTTCACTCCGTCGCGGCGTCGGACCCTGCACTTTGGTTCCTGCCCGCGGACGGTCAGCTCCGGCCTTTGGGGAAACCTCTGACCCGTCGCGCTGCGCGTGTGCACTCCGCGGTACAGTCTCCCTCGCGCGTGGTTGGGGTCAGGAGCGAGGGGCTCTAGCTTCTCCCTGAGAGGCTGAGGAACCACCGGGCCCACCTTCCACCTGCTCCGCGGGCGCTGGCTTCACCTAGCGGGGTCACCCAGGAGGAAGTTGCACGCGTGCCAGAGGGCTGCGTAGCGACTCCGCCTCCTTTAAGCAGTCCTTGAAGGTGCTTTAGGCGCCGCTTTTTAAGAGTGCCTCAGCCTTCAGGCGTCCTCAAGGCCACCCACCCTCCTAACGCTGTGCCCTTTCTGTCCCTGCCAGCTCTCCAGCATGCCCGGGGGCGTGTCCTGGTCCGCCTACCTGAAAATGCTCTCCTCCAGCCTTCTGGCTATGTGCGCTGGGGCCCAGGTAGTGCACTGGTACTACCGGCCTGACCTGGTGAGTCCTGTGGGGCTTGTGCCCATCCTTCCCCTTACACTCCAGCATTCTGTCGCTTCGCTCAGTCCCTCTTGACATTTAGATTGTTCGCAGTGTTCGGATAAACACTGTAGCAGCTCGCTGTTAAGAGTTAAGACTGTGTCTTTTTAATAGCTGCAATGAGGCAGTCTGGTCTACAGAGTGCGTGCTAGGACAGCCGGGGCTACACAGAGAAACCCAGTCTCGGGTGTGTGAAGTGTCAAGAAACTTAATGGAGATAGAAAGTGGCAAGAACTTTCCACGGAAATGCAGTTTTGTGTCTAGCTTCTGCAGGAATAGCTAACAGCTATTTGCCAAGGTAATAATGCCTAGAATTTGATCCTATGAGGTTGATGTGATTAATCTCATTACTATTGAAGCTGTTCAAGGATTGTTACCAGTAGCTACCTGTACTTTGGGAGAAAGCAACACAAAACCGCAGCCTTTAAAATGGACGTGCTCAGGGTCCTGAGCCTCCTCAGTCTCATTAGGTGGTAATATTGGCAGTAGGACCTCTTTTCTGATAGGCCAAGGTGGCTGGTTGCTGTAGGATGCTGTGTGCTCTCCTACTGTTTAAGGAATTATTCCAGCCACCACTGTGGCAGCAGCTAAGGTTGAGGAGAGCAGACCAGGAGGCTATGATGCCACCCAGGGTTGGTACTCCGTGGTGCCGTGGGGGGAACTGCTAAGGATGCTGTTTTAGTTGTCCAGCGTAACGCATTAGGATAGCGAAAGAGACAACTATTTAACCCAGGAGTCATCCTAATTCCTCTCTCTTACAGCGTGCCTCAGCAGACCCCACTGGATGAATATAAAAAACACATCCACACCCTGCCTGCTTCTCTCCCATGTGCCTCCCCTGCCAGGGTCTTACCCCTTTTCTCAGTTAAAACAGTAGCTTCCCGACCATCTACCCTCCACTCCTGCTCTTCCTGAAGTGGCTTCTCGGCAGATCTTACATTACCATTTTTGTTTTTCAAGACAGGGACTTTCTGTGTAGCCTTGGCTGTCCCAGACTCAGTCTGTAGATGAGACTTCCCTTGAGCTCACAGTGCCTGCTTTCGCCTCCCTGAGTTCTGGGATTACAGGCGTGCACCACTATTTCCAGCCTGAATTACCATCTTTTTAATCCTTCAGTCAGGTAACATAGTTCTTAAAACTCCCCAGTATCTTTATGCTTCCAACATGAAGGCCCCTGGAGTATTTTATGTCCCTCCACTGCCAAACAGCCTTCTAATCTGTTGAACACTCTATCAGTATTCTGATGCTTTTCTTTGAAGGCACAGTCATGCCTCAGGTTCTCTGTCCTTGTGAGCCCAACAGCCCGACACTTGTAACACTTCTTCGTCTCCTTCACACCTGTGTTCAGAAGTCAACTTCTGAGCCAAAAAGCCTGTGAAGAGATGCTCATTATCGTTAACCACCAGAGAAATGCAATCTTTACTCAGAACCCCTGCTGTGATGGCCATAATAAAACAACAGTCAGGGACAGGGAGAAGTTGGAACCCTCATGCACTACCTGATGAAAATATAAAGTCGTGAAGCTGCTTTGAGAACCAGTCTGGCAGTTCTTCAAACACTGTATGTTCCAGCAATTCCCATTCTGGGTTTTTATCCAACAAATACCAGGACATCTGTCATCATACTTGTTTGACCTTGTACATGTCCGTAGGTGAGAACAATCCAGATACCTATATTAAAACATGGTACTTCTGTAGAGGGGAATATTATTCAGTGTTCATACACGAATGAAACTTGATCATGTGGTATGTGGTGGGCAAATATATGTGGACAAAATTGGCTTATGGGAATGGAATGGGTGTTTTTTGGGTAGTGAAAAGATTCTGAAATTTTATTGTGGTAGACTCACAGCCCTATTTAGACTGTACTGAAATCATTTTTTTCCTTTTTGTGGTGCTGGGAATCAAACTCCACAATACACACGCTGCACCCCATTTCTCTCTGCCTTCCCCAAAGGCATCATTGTGTATGTGTTGCTAATTTCTTTAAACATTCATAAGATGGCCACTTCATATGTATATTTGTTTGAGACAGGGTTTCTCTGTGTAGCCTTGGCTGTCCTGGGCTCGCTTTGTAAACCAGGCTGGCCTTGAACTCACAGTGATCCGCCTGCCTCTCTCTTCCTGAGTGCTGGGAGTACAGGTGAGCACCACCACGTCTGGCTCCATTTCATGTTTGAATACTACCAGTAGTTATTTCCCAGTTCTGGTGTATGGGCAAGTCAGCAGATAGTGTGGAAATGGATTTCCAAATGTTGAAATTCTCACTTGAAATAACTTGTATTTGAGTCAGTTGGATCTATCCCTGTGAGTCCTGTAGGACTTGACTCTTGCCAGGATAATGTAATCATAAATATACAGATAGCAAGAAATTTAGATCAACCAGGTCCTCTTAGTACTGGTCTGTTACTGAGTAGCATGTATGAGGCTTTATCTTTGTAAAGCTTTTGAGATCACATTGAACTGTGGTGGCATCTGGTTTTTGGCTTTTGTTTTTATTTTTGTAGACAATACCTGAGATTCCACCAAAGCCTGGAGAACTCAAAACAGAGCTTTTGGGACTGAAAGAAAGACACCACGAACCTCAGGTTTCACAGCAGCAGAAACTTCAAAATACAACTGTGCCAAGAATTCTGTGAATATTTTAAATATGTATTTTTAAATTTATTGAGTAAGACTTTTTTTTATTATTATTTTTTATTTATTCACTTTGTATGCCGGCTGTGGCCCCCTCCCTCTTCTCCTCCTAAGCCCCTCTGTAAAACTACTTCTTAAAACACCTGATCCAAAGGCAAAAATGCTGGTTGCTAGGAGCTGATAAAGATGAGCTTGTATTATGGTTCACTGGTTTTTTAAAGATAGTCTCACTATGCATCCTTGGCGCAACTGGAACTTGCTATGTAGATCAGGCTGGCCTCCAGTTCACAGGACCCACAGGCTTCTACACAAAGGTCTTGCTGTGCTGTGTAGCCTACCCTGACCTCAAACTCAGGACAGCTCTGCCTCCACTTCCCAAAGGGAGAAATCGCAGGTATACAACCATTCCTGGTCGTGTAGGCCCTAGTTTTTCAAAGGCTACTTCATTTGGAGGTTCCTTAAAGTTTATACCTCCTTTCCAACCCCAAGCCCAGGTAGGGGAAAAAGAAGGTTGTTAGGGAAAGAGGATGTAGCCCTCTTTTTTTTCCTGCTTGGTAGGGTTGTAGGATTCTTTTGGGAGCAACACCAGAATCCATCAGGAAATCCAGAAATTCAGGTAACCAGCAAGCCAGCCAGCCAACAAGTGCAGCAAGCAGTCCTCTGCCTTCTCCCTCTGTGCTATAATATTTGTACCCCTCAAAGTTCTCAAAATTCAACTAATTCCAGCTGGCAAAGACCATGCTCCGCATGAGACAATTAACAGGTGTGGACAAACTAAAGTCCCCACTTGGGATTACAACAAAAACGTGTATATATCATAAACCAAAACATCCACAACATGGTCCAGTGTCTTTTAAGAACTGCCTAAGATCATCTCTTTAGCGTCTTGCATTTGACTGGGAAGATGTTTTATCTTCAATATCACACAAGACTGAGTATTTGCAATGTCTCCTGCCATTATGATTCTCACTTCTCTGAATGAACTTGATTATAATGGCAAGTTATAACACCCAGGCGTGGTGGCCCACAGCTTTGATCCCAGTACTCAGGGAGAGGCAGGTGGATCTACAAAACAAGTCCAGGATAGCTAATAGCTAAGACTATAAAGACTATAGAGAAACCCTGTCTAAAAAAAAAAAAAAAAAAAAAAATCAGTGATGATGCTTATAGGGTCTAAATTAATATATCTAACATTAGAACATATTCTTCGTACTAAAGTTAAAAGTTCTTTGGAATTGTGTACCTAATGGAATTGTATTAGTGACATGTCAGGGTACTTAAACCCCAAAATTTGAGAAAGCAAATTAAAATTGGTACTGTATACATGTAAAAATGGCATAAGACTCTAAATGAGTATGAACTGTGTCCCTAACTCCTTATCCTTCAGTGCCTGTGAATGACTAGGATGAGGTCATAAGGGTGAGCCTAATATACTATGACCACTGTCTTGATGCCAAGGGAAGAAATGCAGTGAGGACGTTGCGTAAAGATATGCAGGGACTAGAATGTTGGAAATCCAAGCAAAGAACAGCAAGCATCAAAGGCCCCCACCCAAAGCCTTTAAGGAAAGGAAGGATTCTGTCACAGAACAAGGCCCTGAGAACTGTGATAGCACATCTAATTTTAGGCCTAGTTTCCTACAGCAGCTGTCTCAAGATTTTGCTCAATCTGTAAATAAAGAACAAAATATATGTTCCTTTTAAAAAAATTTTATGTATATGAGTACATTGCTGCCATGTCCCTGACTCCCTCAGAAGCCAGGAAGAGGGTATCTGATACTCCCAAAACTAGAGTTAAGAGCCTGTGAGAGGCACCTAGGCACTAAGGCCTGAACCAGGGTCCTCGCAAAGAGCAGTCAGTATTCTTTACTGAACCTCTCCAGGCCTGAGGATTCTTCAAGTTGCATGAATATATGGACATGGGTGCCCTGCCCATGAAGGGGAGGTAGCAGGTGGAAGATGAATTATGTGTAGTTTGGAGCCATCAGGTGTGTCTGGGAACTGAACCTAGGATCTCTGTAAGAGCAACAAGTTCTGCTGAGTTGTCTCTGTATCTATATTGTAAACACAATGTCTTTGTAGGGACTCTGAAGCCGAGTCGTTTGAGAGGTCTAAATAAGTAACCTTGTCTAGCGTGGAACTTGCTAAGTAGGATCAGGCTGCCCTTGAGATCTGCCTGCCGTGCTTTCATGGGCACTAGGCACACATTTGCATACATACATTCAAAGAACACTCATACACATCAATTTTTAAAATGGTTTGACAGAATCTCTTTTGTCCTGGCACTGGCTATGTCATGCTGGCCTTGAACTCAGAGGTCCTCTTGCCCATCTCCCATGTGCACCCACCTAGCTCAGCTAACATGAAATTACCATGATCTATCTGCCTTTCACCCCAGCACTCAGGAGGCTGGGGTGATCTTTTGAGTTCTAGGCCAGCTGAAGTTATATAGCTTGTTGAGAGCATGTCTCAAAAAAAACACTGGCAGGTTAATTTTAATTACTTTTAATTACTTTTTTTTAAGTAACTTTGCTGAGAGGACTTCAAAGTTTTTTCATGGTCTTTGAACATATTCAAATACCCAGTATATACTCTAGAAGGTCATCACCAAGTCTAGCACACACTCAAAAAGATTATGTTCTGATCCCTGGAAGGGGAATATCTACATGTTCAGTAAAAAGCATGATCTGAGATAAACATAATGAAATCTGTACACCTATAGAAGGTAAAACAAGAAAGACCGGGGGTAAGCCCTCACTTAGAGAGACAAATGGGATGGGCATTGGACAGAGGAGAAAACAAGTAACAGGACAGGAGCCTACTGCAGAGGGCCTCTGAAAGACTCTACCTAGCAGAGTATCAAAGCAGATACTAAGACTCATAACCAAACCTTTGGCAGAGTGCAGGGAATCATATGAAAGAAGAGGAGTTAGTAAGACCTGGAGAGGACAGGAGCTCCACAAGGACCATATGGTTGGGCACAGGGGTCTTTTCTGAGACTGACACTCCACCAAGGACCATGTATGGATATAACCTAGAACCTCTGCTCGGATGTAGCCTGTGGTAGCTCAGTAACCAATTGGTTTCCCATAGTAAGGGGAACAGGGACTGTTTCTGACATGAACTCAATGGCAGGCTCTTTAACCTCCCCACCCCCCAAGGGAGGGGCAGTCCTGCTAGGCCACAGAGGAGGACATAGCAGCCAGTCCTGAAGATACCTGATAAAACAGGGTCAGATGAAAGGGGAGGAGGTCCTCCCCAATCAGTGGACTTGGAAAGGGGCAGGGAGGAGATAAGGGAGGGAGGAAGGGTAGGATTGAGAGGAAATGAGGGAGTGGGATACAGAGTTAATAAAATAAAACAAAACAAAAAAACCCCAAACATGATCTGAAAAACACACAAAACATCAAACTAAGTTACTTTCTCTTTTTTTAAAAGAACCCAATAGACAAGGAATAAAAAAGTCAGGTATTACACAATTTCTGGTTTGTTATGAAAAACAGGCAGTAGGTATTTGGGATATTTTTTAATTTTTATACACATGACAAGATTTTACACCAATAGTCAGTTAAATAGTACAAATTTACATTCGGGAGGAATGTTAAAAAAACAAAACAAAAAACTTAACTAAAAAACCCACTTCTTCCTGTGACCCATAATCCCAACATTTTACAGTGCAGGGGAGAAGGAGGCTTGGGGGAGCATCCAAAACAAGTCTCTCAAAAGAAATGACTTTAAAACTTCACATTCCCTCTCCACACAGGATCCGTGGTGAGAGTGCAATTTACAATTCATCTTTTTCTGTTATAGATTCCTGTGAAAACATAAAAATCAGAAGACATTACAAACTGCCTTTCAGAAAGGCTCACGTTCAAACTGTTTCTACTATTTTGTTTGTACTTGCTTGTTGGCAAAATACAGAACCTACCAACAAGATCAGTGCTTAAATATAGTCAAAGCTTAAAAACTACCTAATGTTGGCCAGGCATAGCAGTTCACATCTTTAATCCTAGCATGAGGGAGGCAAAGGCAAGGCAGGACTACCTAGAGACAGCCACGTCTGAGCCTGGTATCAGAAGCCCACTTGTCCGTGGACTTACTCCTTGTGACTAGCTGTCATTAGGAGATCTACTTGCCGGCCTCGTGCAGCCCCATCTGCCCAACCCTCTGTCAGACCTTGGCTGTTTGCTGTTCTTCTTCTTCTTCTGTCCCCGCGTCCACCTCTTCCTCTTCCTGCTCCGTGTCCTCTGTGTCTTCTGTTGTGTCTTCAGGCTCTTCTTCTGGTTCTTCTTCTACCTATAAAACAACATCCATGAACCTGTAAATGCCTTCCATTCGTTTTGCATGTTTAAGATAATGATTGTTTTAACATTAACTGCAGCAAATCTGTCTTAACAGGGAAGCTATCAAAAGAGGCAAAGGTAAAAAATCTGAGCCCTGGGGGCCCTCAGAGACTGATGCATCAAGGACCACAGACAGAGGACCTAGACCCCAGCTCAGTCTCCATGTGGGTCTCTGAGTAAAGGGAGCAGGGGCTGCCTCTGTCATGAACTCAGTTGCCTGCTCTTTGATCACTTCCCCTTGGCTATGGAGCCTTACCAGGCCACAGAGGAAGAGGACCCAGGCAGTCCTGATAAGACTTGATAAGGGTCAAATGGCAAGGGAGAACTCCCCCTTTCAGTGACTAGGAGAAGGGGATGAGGTGAAGAGCGAGGGTAAGTGGGACTGGAAGGAATGAGGAAGGTGGCTACAGTTGGCATATAAAATGAATAAACTCACACACCTTTAATTTCAGGAGGCAAAGGCAGGTAGAACTCTGTGAGTTTGAGGCCAGTCTGGTCCACAGAGTGAGTTCCAGGACAGTCAAAGCTACACAGAGAAACCCTGTGTGTGTGTGGGGGAAGTGGGTTTCTCATTAATTTTATAGGTGCCATTATCACTCTAAAGATGGAGTAAGTTATTTCTAAGAGTAAAAACTAGGCAAACTTGTAAAGCAGTATCACTTAACAGAGAGCCAAGGGCACACACATACCTGTGCTTCAGGGTCAATGTTTAAACTCAGGCGAAGCATTCTTTCTATTCTATCTCCATAAGCCTTGGTGTCCGGTAAAAGATAACCTGACCGAAGTGTTGCTGTTTCAAACAAAACCACTGCAAGATCCAAGACAGTCTTGTCATCTTCATCTTCCTGAGAGAAGGAACATTTGA